TATATATATATATATATATATATATATATATATATATATATATATATATATATATATATATATATATATATATATATATATATATATATATATATATATATATATATATATATATATATATATATATATATATATATATATATATATATATATATATATATATATATATATATATATATATATATATATATATATATATATATATATATATATATATATATATATATATATATATATATATATATATATATATATATATATATATATATATATATATATATATATATATATATATATATATATATATATATATATATATATATATATATATATATATATATATATAATATATAGTATATATATATATATATATATATATATATATATATATATATATATATATATATATATATATATATATATATATATATATATATATATATATATATATATATATATATATATACATATCTAAAATAATACATATATACATATATTTATTAATATATTTAGAGTAAATACAAAATATATACACTTTTGTTTTTTTATTATTATTATTATTAATATTTAATATAAAAATACATTTTTTGACAAATACCTCATTTTATTTTATTTTTGTATATATAAATAAATATTTGTACATAATAAATGAATAATGTATTTTATTTAATAGAATTAGGGTTTTACCCTAAATATGAAAATACTCCAAAAATAATACCTTTTTATTTTCTTTTTATTTTACATAAATAATACTTTTTTTTTCATACATATAAAAATTCTTTTTGCATTTTTGTATATTTGTTTTTATTTTTATTTAATCTATGCAAATTAATCACCTTGTAAGTAATTTAACATTGATGTAATAGTTTTAGGTTTAAATTCCTTGTCAAAATCCCCATTTGAACATTTGTACCCCCCTTCCCATATTTGGTTTTGTAATAGCTTAGTAAATTTATTTTCGCACTTTATTGCTTTCTAATTATACCATGTTAGAATTAGGGTTTGTATGCGAAAAACGACAAAATAGTTATGACCTAATCTCAAGACAAACAAGCATGAAAATGGACACACAAATCACACTTGCACCCCCTAGGGTATTCCACTTGTTGCCTTTCAAAATTGGGCCATATTGCATGTTAGGTCTCTTTGGGCAAAACAAACAAATCAAATGATCATAGTCCCTCGATAACACTTTCAAAATGTTGCCTAAAACAAATGATCAAGTCTCTTAAAGAAAATGCCCAAAGATACTTGGCACCATTGCAGTTATGGCCTAAACGATGACCCGCGCCTGTCCCTTTCACATCCTAACATGAGATTGTCCACCAAATACAATGGTGGAACAAACTTATTAAAAGGGTTAAAACATAGCAATAAACTTTGAGAAATTTAGGAGTAGATAACCTCTTAGTTACTTGAATCAATCTTGCAAACTAAAACACTTGCCTATTTTAAAAACCACACATCAGTACACTTTCAAAACAACTTTCAAAAATAAATGAAAACCTTTTCAAAAGACATACATCTTTGTATACATCCCCACATGGATCATTACAAAGGTCGCCACCACATTGGCTTCTTTTCAAAACATTTTCAAACCCACACACACAAGCACCATTTAAAACAATTGAAACAAAAGGCAAGTGATCTAAGCAAGTAACTAAGAGCCCATGGATAACCATGGATAGAAAGGGTGTTAATACCTTCCCTTTCTATAATCTACTCCCCGAACCCAAGAAAACATCTCAAAAGGTTTTTGCTGTGCTTTTTAAACCTTTCCTTAGGATAAAATAAAAAGTCGGTGGCGACTCTTGCTCAACCGAAACATTTGCGAAAACAAACGCAGAACCTCAAGTCAGTTCTCCCACTGTATCACAAGATGGAACCGGAAATTGATTTCCGGTTTACACTCTATCACATGATAGGATTTGTAAGGTCCACGTTTGCCTTCAACTACTATAAATAATCTCATTTGGCATTTTGTTTCATAACAAAACACCAAAAAACAGAAGAATGGACATCATATGACATATTAGAAATGTCAACTTTATATGCAATACACCATCGCGAGAATTTAAGTTCACCGAGTACGCCCCTCTTGAAGATCTGCAAGAGATATTGCAGGATCTGCTACCTTATGGTGATAAACACAAATATGTGAAGATTGAGTACCGTTCGTCATCCATTGACAAAGATGGAAAGCTTCAGTTCATCAACCGTGAGCTAAGGAACAACGCTGATATTCAGACTACGTGGCATACGTTTATCCGTTTTGAAACAAAAATTCCGATCGAGCTAGATGCGACTCTTTCGAGATCGGTAGATGATATTATCAAGATGTTGCAATGTCCACCTGAACATTAAAGTGTAATGTTTGACGTATGTTTCAATCCTTAATATATTTCCTATTTTATGATATGAATTATTATTTTGAATTTGTGCAATTGATATTATGTAAGATTATTTTTTCTACTATATGTTCATTGCAATACTGAAAATGTAAGTCCGAGTATCAACCGGAATTGTATTTTCAATTTAACTCTACATATTTTTAAAGCTTAGTACACACTAAAAATATATTTCTAATATTCAAAGGGAGTTTAGTAATTTGTATAAAATGGAAAAGGAAATTGCCTATCATAAAGCATTAAAAGCCCAAATCACGGCCCAATTTCAGAAAGAGGGGTTAGTGAAGCAGCAACAACTTGGTTAACAAACGCTAAACTCCTTTCTCCTTTCTGAGAAAAACGCCAAACCCTATTTACAAAACCTCTACACCGAATTCTCAGTGTTCTGCAGTTTTCCATTCAGAAGAAACAACCAGAAGGATTCGAAAATGGCTCGTAATGAAGAGAAAGCTCAATCCATGCTCAACCGTTTCATCACAATGAAAGCGGAAGAGAAGAAGAAACCAAAGGAACGACGTCCTTTTCTTGCCTCAGAATGCCGCGACCTCAACGAAGCTGACAAATGGCGTCAACAGATTATGCGTGAAATCGGTCGTAAAGTCGCCGAGATCCAAAACGAAGGTCTCGGCGAACACCGCCTCCGTGACCTCAATGACGAAATCAACAAACTCATCCGTGAGAAAGTTCATTGGGAGCGCCGAATTGTCGAACTCGGAGGTCCTAATTACGCTCGACATTCCGCCAAAATGACGGATCTGGATGGAAATATTGTTGATGTTCCAAACCCTAGCGGCCGTGGTCCTGGTTACCGTTACTTCGGTGCTGCGAAGAAACTCCCCGGTGTACGTGAGTTGTTTGAGAAACCACCAGAGCTTCGCAAGCGAAGAACACGATATGATATCTATAAACGAATCAATGCAGCTTATTATGGTTACCGGGACGATGAGGATGGTATTCTAAAATCCCTTGAGAAGCCTGCGGAGAAGGCTATGCGAGATGATGCGAAGGGAGAGTGGCACCGGCTTGATATGGTAAGGAAAGAGGCTAGGAAGGCTGTTAGGAGTGGGGAGGTTGCCGAGGTTACTATTGCTGCTAGGGAGATTCTTCATGAGGAGGAGGAAGATGTGGTGGAGGAGGAGCGGACGAAGGAGAGGGAGATGAGGGATAAGGATGAGAAAAAGAGGGAATTCATTGTTCATGTGCCGTTGCCTGATGAAAAGGAGATTGAGAAGATGGTGTTGCAGAAGAAGAAGACGGATTTGTTGAATAAGTATGTTAGTGATGTTCTCATGGAGGAGCAGACTGAAGCTAAGGACTTGCTTAACATTCATCGCTAGGCAGGTAGGGGTTTTTATGCTCTGCTCCTAATTGGAACTTTTTACATACATTGTTAAATTATTACATGTTGCAGTTTATTTAGATTAGATGCAAGCATGTGATGCTATTATATTTAATATTTTCTGAATGACCTATCTATTATTGTAAATTGCACTGGATGATGTTATATTCATTGACGAATTTAAATGCATAGAGTGTAGCATTGATTTGCAAGGAGTTTTTGATATCAGATTAGTCAACAATTAATCATTCAGAGAATTTATATTGCACTAGATGATGTTCTATGGTAAGAATTTTACAATTAATCATTATTAGTCAACAACCTTATCTTTTGGTTAACCATCGAAAGATTCAAATCCAAGATCAACATCTGTTTTTTACTTTATTAAGTAATCAGTGAAACTGTATCTTGCAAATATTTCTCTTAAGTGGTGGTGTTCAAATACTTGTATATATTATTTCATTTGAAATCTTTCATTGATATTATGTTATCGACTCTCTGTTCAGCCCTTGTATAAATATCTTTATTTACACATGTTTCTTGCATAAGTATTTGATGTTCTAATTTGTGAACTTAGTGGTTCTTTTCTCTCGACTCTCTGAGATTATTTCGGAGTTAAAAAATTGTGAGCATTAGAATTAGTATAGCTATTGAACACTCATATTGCATTCTACTAAAATAGCAATTTAGTTTTGAGTTGTGATTAGAAATTTTATATTTATAAGTGCCATTTTTATTACCTATATGTTGTCAACATGATGATGTGGATTGCCTTCTAATTTACTCATTTGAACTCAAGAATCATAGTATAAAATCCATAAATTGCCCTGATAATTTATCTTGGATAAATTTACTCTTCCTAGCTGTAAAAAGAGAAGTATCAAAAACTGTTGTACAAGTTGTTTGATGTTATTGATTCTAATTATGTTCTTGTTAAGGGTTTTTGTTTTATGTATAATGCAAGTCACATGTTTGAGGAAATGCACGTGTTAAGGTTTTTTGAATATATGTACCACTACCAAACATATGGAATGATATTACTAGTTTCTGTTTTGGGTTCTTAGTTATAATATGTATAGAATGTGTGAGCATTACTTATATAGGATCCCTAAATTTTGACAGCGTATGGTAAATAAAGTTATTTCCCGTTTGAATATATCTTTTGAATATATCTTTATATATCACACTTCAACTTAACCTAACCTCTCAAATCAGCCTACATCATATGTGTAGTAGATCATCAATATCAAAATATGAAAAGGAAGAGAACTTCCTGGTTTGTCCCAATGTGCTTGAATGATAGTTTACATGAATGGTTTTTCTGTAGTCTTGAATGCTCTGTTTTACATGTTTGGGCATGGAGATCAGTAAATCAGCCTACACATTCTGATATTTTAGTGTTTACTATTAGTAAGGAATTTTTGAAATCAAATTCTTCAGTGAAGCATAGAGCGTAGTAATAATTTGCAACAGGGGGTGCTAATTTGGAATCTGTTAGGGGCTAGAATGTCTATCTCACGTGATGGCTTAATCACAGTTATGCAACATTCGCATGGCCTGCAGAAACTATGTGTAGCGTGTGGCACAGAGAACCAACAATAAAACAGTACACACTGCAAAAAAATGGGATATGTACTTGTTATTGATAGTGGAAAGCAAGATACATTTTACTCTGTACAAATAGTAGTTAGACCTAGGAAAGGAATTGGCTCAGAATGACCAAGTATGAGATCTAAGAAGATCCTTATGTACTATGCAGAAAGATAGAAAGAAATACCAGAGAATCTAATCTAATCTAGAACTAGGAGAAGAATTTAAATAACACTTAATCTACACCCACTACCCGAGGCTCTCCATGATTATGTAGTAAAGCTTTCATAGAGTTTGTTTGCAATGTGAACAAAGGCTTAAAGTTCAATAGCTAAGTTGTGTTATTGTGGGCGGACCAAATTGGAAGGGCCCGGGGTCTTATCTTTTACTTTCATTGCCATTTTTTATCATTATTTATTTTTAACTTCTAATAACAAAAAACAGTTGGTTTCCTTGAAGGTATTTGTTTTCAATCCTTGCCTTGATTCTCTTGTTGAAAAGACACATTATTGTTTTTGGGATAACTGAGCCGATAACTAAAATAATGTTGTCGTTTACATAGTATCAAGTATCAATTCACTAAGTTTGGAACTTCAACATTTATGTTACCACATTTACATCAGGAACCCTTCCGTCTTGAGGTTGACTACTGACTTTGTGCTGGATCAACACTGGATAATAGAGCAAGAGTTACTTCTGGTTTGAAGAAATTTGTAAAATGGATGATGATATTCAACATTAATGCAGGAAATTAGTTGCCAAGCATTATGAAGGGTAGGTTCTGTTTGTAAAGATACTAGGTGTGGAGCTAAAACTTGGAAGCAGGATGGATATATATGACGTGCTTGTTGTTTTTCTATATTTGTTGGCATCCTGGTAGCTTAAATTATGTGCATAAAAGGGGACTGGTGCATCCACAAGGGAGGGTGCGAGTTTTTCCTACTACATAATGGATTAAAGATTGCATTACAATGTATATTTCTAAGAATTTTATAAGTTTGAGCTAATGCATATAATGGTAGTGTTTTGAAATTTGGCCAGTGTTAGTGTGTTCGCTAGTCTGGTGCATGTATTGGAACAGTTTGTGTAACGAGTTACAAACAGGTTTTCCCCGCTTCATTTTATTTCAAACAACACAAGTTTTACATATGTTATTTTTTTGGTGTTAAAGCAAAATTGGTTAACCTTTGATTTTGGCGTTTCTTTTCTCCAAGTTATGTTGATATGTATGTGTCCAAATTCAATGTTCACTGACCTTGAAAAAGGCCAAAGCATCTTTAAAATCAAATGGGAAATAAGCAATTTGACAATTAGTGGTGTTTCTAAAGGAAACTAGAATTGATCGGAGTCAGATGAAGCGAATGAGATTTTAATTCATATTACATGTAGAATGATGCATTTTCTTCTTTATATAGTAAGGAGGTTAAAATCGCTCGTGGATTTGGCAGCGTATTATGCGGAAGACTATCTGATTAATTTGGATGGTGTGAGATGATCTCTGATTAATTTGGATGGTGTGAGATGATTTAGTGGTTGTGTCATTCATTTTCTTGCTCGGTGTGTGATTTAAGTGTGTCGTTTGCTTTTGGGTCTCTTGTTCGGTGTGTGATTTAAATGTGTCGTTTGCTTTTGGGTCTTCATTATTGGACATTTTGGACGGTCTAAAACAATTGTCCTGAAGCCTTTGCCTCTACTTTTTAGGGTGAGGCTTCATGATGTTCATTTCTATGCGTTATATGTCTTTTTATTGATGAACCCTTAATGCATGCCCTCTCACGTGCTTAGCAATGATGATCTTTGAGAGTTAGGACACTAAAATATCTCTGAGGGGATTTGGATTGTCGACAATGCTCTTTTCCATTGTCATCGTAAGACATCATATGGTTCTTTATGTTGGAAGAAGCTATAAAAGCTTATGTGCTCGGTATTTTGAGCGCGCGTGTGAACACCACAACCTCCGTATACATGAATTTAATATTTGGATCTCATTGTTACTAAATTAGGTATTCGTGCTAAATATGTTGCTCTAGGATATAGGTTTACTTTAAGAGGTTTGGTTCGAAATTTATTAGTCAATAAAGTTTGTATCCGTAGTAGGGATGTAAACGGGGCAAGAAATGTTTGGAGGATGCTTCTCTGCTCTCTGTCCCACTCTCAAATTTATTCTCCATTTTCATCTCTAATCTTCGCTACGAAAGAATATTTTCCTTTGTCCCCATTCCCACAGATCTCCACGCAGATCCACGGTGATCGAATTTTAAGAAAATTTCTATATTTTTCGATCAAAACTATGACACTAGTATTTTGTTATTTTTTCTTTTTTTAAAAACACATATTTTACATCTTTCATTTTTAAAAAATAAAAATACATTGTGCATCAATAACAAAAAAAGAAGCAAAAGCATGTGTTGTTGCTAAAAAAAATTCTAGAAAAAAACAATAATTTTTTTCTTTTTTTAAAAACACATATTTTACATCTTTCATTTTTAAAAAATAAAAATACATTGTGCATCAATAACAAAAAAAGAAGCAAAAGCATGTGTTGTTGCTAAAAAAAATTCTGGAAAAAAACAATAATTATTAACATAACTTGTTGCTACCATGCTTCAGCTAATTTACAACTACATTGCGGTTGTCGTCCAGCGCAAGTGGTTGATTATGTGTGGGTGTGAAAAATCTATAACTACTAATTTATTAATTGAATGAAAACCGTGTACTAATGAAAGTAAAGTGAATTTGAAGAGTAATTACCATAAGTGTAATGAACAAAGAATAGTGGTTTTGTGATCATGATGAGATTAGAGGAGATGATGAATGGAGGAGACATATAATTAAGAAAATAAAAGGAGGAGATAGTGTGTACATCCTATGTATTGAGTGTACTTTTCTAGAGTTGGATATTTAGGTAGTGAAATAATATTATACAATAAAACATAAAAATAAAATGGTCCACTAATGACTCTTCATTTTCTAATAAATTAATATTTTTGATGTAAACTTATATAATATATAAAATATAAAAGTTAAATAATAAGGTCGGAGTCGGGTAATCTATGCGGCGATGGGTACTTTTCCAATCTCTTCCCCAAAGTGTCATCGGGTGAACTTTTTCCTCCATCCTCATCCCCGCGAAAGAAAAAATCTCCAACTTCGGTGCTCCGAACAGATAATCTCCGCAAGGATCTCCATATTAACACATGCAAATTGACATCCCTATGCATCCGGCCTAATTGTCCACCAATTTATCTATGTTTGGTAATCGATACGAATCTTTTGGACATGCCTGGTTAAGATTTATGTAATCCACACACATTCTCCACTTTTCAGAGGCTTTATTGACTAGCAATACATTAGAAAGTCATTCAGTATATCTCGCTTTAGAGATAAAGTTGGCATCAACTGACCTTGAAACATTTTGGTAGTAATTTTGGCCTTCTATAGGAAATGTCTCCTTCTCTGTTGGAATGTGTATCATGCGATAAAATCGACGTTCAACTAGTGGCACGGTACAGACGGGTCAATATTGTGCATCTCATGAGGAGAGATGGCAAAGGGATATGCATTAGCTCTTAGAAATTACGAGTGTTTCCCCTACTTTGTTTGGAGACTGACACCTGTCTTTACTGGGCACGAGGGTTGTCATCGTGTTGGACGATCTCATATTCATCATTTGGAACTAGTCTCTTCCAGTGAAAGTCCAGTAGTATGATCACCTCTGAGGATGGAAATGATCTTTCTGTGGAAGTTCAACGATGTAATCACCTCCAAGGGCAAGGATTTTTCAATGGAAGTCCAACAATGTAATCACCTTCAAGTGTTACAAGGATCTTCTAGTGGAAGCTCAACAATGTAATCACCTTCAAGGACGACAATGATATTTCAATGAAAGACCAACAATGTAATCACCTCTAAGGGTGACAAAAATCTTACACTGGAAGCCCACCAATGTAATCACCTTTAAGGGAGATATGATCTTCTAGTCGAAGTCTATCAATGTAATCACCTTTAAGGGTATCAAGGATCTTTCAATGGAAGTTCAATGATGTAATCACTTCTAAGGGTGACAAAATTCTTTAAGTGGAAGTCCAACAATGTAATCACCTTTAAGAATGACAATGATCTTCTAATGAAAGTCTAAAAATATAATCAACTCTAAGAGCGGCAAGAATCTTCTAATAGAAGTCTATAAATGTAATCACCTTCAAGGGACAAAGAACTTTCAGTGAAAGTCCAACAATATAATCACCTCCAAGGACAACAACGATATTCTAGTAAAAATTCAGCAATATAATCACCTATAAGTGCGGTGTATTTCAGGAGTAGTGTGGGTGCCTCTTTCTCTTTCCAGACCGGGGGAAAAGGTTTGGTATCTTCGGTGTCTTCGATAGCTTGAAGACTTTTGGATCCTCTCGTGATGAGTTTCCGCATGAGTATTTATTGGTTTCTGGACAACGGTTTAATTTCTTCCCAAATCAACTTAGTGTACAATGTTGTTTCTTGAGTTAGCATGGTGTAAGCTTTCTCTGATCCGGAGTAATCTTTCCACTAAGGTCTGGGAGCTTTGTTGTTGTACCATACTGTAAACATTGTTCAACAATTTGTTAAATAAAATCATATTCTTTAGGAAAATCTTATTCTTTAAGGAAGTGGAGTTGTAGATAGGATTAAAATTTCTCGCTAATAAGTTAGTTAATCCACGTTGTAGGTCATGTAAAATGTGGGTTTGTGACTACTTTGGTTAAGTTTTCAGTTTCGTAAGGTTATATAGCCAATTTTTGCTTTCAATTCATTAAGACATTCTTTCCAAAACCTTTATGTTTGCTTTTAGCTTCAACAATTGGTATTAGATCTTCATTACTGAAGCATGATCCATAGTGTATGCGTGAGAAATAATAATGAATGTGAGAGAAACACTGAGTGTGTGTGTCACGAAAGAAACTGTAATTTTCTTTCAAGTAAAAGAAGTTTAAAAGAATAGTAGAAAGTGATGACAATAGTTTTATGCAGCCTATTATTCCCAAGTTTGATGGTCACTATGACCATTAGGCGAAGTTGATGGAAAACTTTTTCTCTTCTAAAGAATATTGGAGTCTCATTGAAAATGGTATATTGGTGGTAGAAGATGAAGTAGAGTCATAGAGACACAACACGAATCAGTAGAAGAATAAAAGTTGAAGGACTTAAAGGAAACAAATTACCTCTCCCAAGCAATTTCTCATGGCGTTCTTGAAACAATATTCAACAAGACACTTTCAAAGGTATACGGGATTCAATGAAGCAGAAATTCTAAGGTTCAAATAAGGTCAAAAGGGCACAATTACAAGTTTTACAGGACGATTTTGAGATTCTTCATATGAAAGAAGGAGAAACAATGAATGCATATTTCTCCCATAATTTAATCATTGCTAACAAAAGGAAAGCTCATATGGTGCAAGTATGAATGAAACAACCATTACTAAGAAGAGCTAAAGAAACTATATATAAAGTGTTTAACCGGTAAGCAACTTAAAGACTATTTTCCTAAGAAGAGTATATGGAGCTCATCAAACAAGCTACAATTTGTGTATCCAGACATATGTAGAGCATAAAGAGGTACATTCTAAGTGTTATAGATAATTTCACACGTAAAACTTGGATTTACTTCTTAAAAGAAAAATTTAAGGCTTTTCCCATGTTTAGAATTTTTAAAGTTCGTGTTAAAAAGGAGTATGGTGAATATATCACTTCTTTAAGAACAAACAAAGATAGTTACCTCAAATGAATTTGAAGAATTTTGCAAAATTCAAGGCATATCTAGACAATTGATAGCAACATATACTCCTAAGAAAAATAGAGTTGCTGAGAGGAAAAATAGGATAACGATGAACATGGTGCACTCTATGTTGGCCATGAAGAAGGTTCCCAAAATGTTTTGGCCATGAGCTGTAAAATGGAGTGTGCACATCCTTAATAGATGTCATGTTATGATTATGCAAAATAAAACTCCAAAAGAGACATGAAGTTGTGTGAAACCAACAATTAATTACTTTCAAATTTTAGGGTATGTAGCTCATACACAAGGTCTAAACAAAAAAAGAAGTAAGTTAGACGACGAGAGTAAGAAAATTGTTTTGTTGAGAGTAAATGATGAGTCAAAAGACTACATATTATATGATCAGGTTTCCAAGAAAATGATCATTAGTAGAAATGTGGTTTTTGAAGAAGATGAATGTTGGAATCGAGGCATAAGTGAAGAAGAATGCAGATTGAATGTTTTGGAGTGCAAATATGATTTTGAGAATGCCACTAAAGGAAGAGGAGTGGATAATGAAAATGAAGCAATATTACATATGCAAGAAATTCAAGTGAATCTAGTTCCACTTCTAATGAATCACATGAGGAAGATTCAGTAATTATGAATGAAGGGAGGATAAAAGGAGTATCATTTTGGATGAATGACTATGAAATAAGTGAAGGTTTGTTCGATGAAAATGGTCTGATTGTAATGATAACACTCATTGAAGATGACCCACTTACATTTGAAGAAACTGTCAAGATCAACAAGTGGAGGACACAATGATGAAAACTATTGAGTCAATATAAAAGAACAAAACCTGAGAACCAAGTGTTTTGCCTAAAGGAGTGAATCTTATTTGAGTTAAATGAGTTTTCAAGATGAAATTTACGAGAATAGAGAAATAGATAAATACAAAGCGAGATTAGTGGCAAAATGGTATGCACAATAATACAAAGTAGATTGTACTGAAGTTTTAACTTCATTGACCAGACTTGATACTATTCAAATGATACTTCTATTGGAAGCTCAAAACAGTTGGAATGTTTTTCAACTTTATGTAAAGAGTGATATTTCAACTCAAAGAAGAAGTATTTGTGTAGCAGCCACATGGATATGAGAAGAAAGGTGAAGATAAAGGCTTATTTTATTTGAGAAGGGTTCGAAAGGTATTTTTGTAAACACAAATTGTTCACAAAATCAAAAAAATGGAGATAAAATTTTAATAGTAAGTCATATATATTGAGAATGATAAAAGTATGTGTGATAAATTTAAGATCCTGATGAAGTTAAAATTTGAGATATTTGATTTTGAAAGAATAAGATATTTTCTTGAGATTGAGGCGCTGCAGAGTTCATGGGGGATTTCTTTTTGTTAAAGAAAGTATGTTCACAAAATTTTATCAAAGTTTGAAAATGGAAGAAAGTATTTAAACAATAAAGAATCTTATAGTACCAAGCACAAATTGTTACAAAATGAAACTCAAACCAAAGTTGATGAAACTTTAGGTTGTTGATAGTATGATGTACTTGACTTAGGGATGTCAGTTTGGACCTGTTAATGGGGATCCCCGCGGGGAACGCCCCGTTCGGGGCTCCAAAGATAGGGAATTTTCCCCCGTGGGAGCGGGGATGGGGAGAAAAATTCCCCCGAGAGCATTTCGGGGACGGGGACGGGGAATACACCCCCCGCCCCGCGGGAACCCCGCCCCGCCTATTATTTTAATATAGTTAATTTAATATATATATTTTAGATTAGGTTTTTTAGTCATTTCCTTTATGTTTATTTATAAAAATAAATAAATAAATATTCATGTATTTATTAAGAGAGAGAAATGTAAATATTAGACCCTAAAAAAGTTGAAGCGTTTCATTTTCTTCTGCCAGACATTTAGAGTCTCACACGTTAGACTCCTTTTTTTCTTCTCCAGTCAAATCTCCATTCATCTTCCTCATATAGCATTTTATAGAAATTTATAAAAAAAATATTATTATTTTGTGTTCCATTAGTATTTTTAATAAAAAATAATAAATGTCAAATACTAGTATTTTTTAATAACATAATAAATATGTGAATTCTTTGTGCTTTTTATTTTTATAGAAAATATAAACATTTTAAAAAAATAAAATATTAATGAATAAATGTAGGATCTATGGGGATCCCCGCGGGGAACGGGGATCCGCGGGGAACGGGGATGGGGATAGAAATTCCCCCGTGACGGAGATCGGGGACGGGGACGGGGAATGAATTTGATGGCGGGGAAAAAGATGGGGAAGTGTCCCCCCGGCCCCGCCCCGCCCCATTGACATCCCTAACTTGACTACTACGTATTTGGATTTGATATACGGAGTAAGTCTTATCAATAGGTTCATTGTCCAACTAAATTTCGTTGACTAACAACAAAAGAATACTAAGGTATTTGAATGTTGTCATTGAGCTTGAGATTTTCTATAAAAAGAAAGGTTACACAAATCTCAAGGCTTATGCTGACAGCGATTTTGTCGTTGAATTAGATGATCAAATAAGTACTTTAGAATTTGTTTTCTTATTTGATTTTGGAGTTATTTCTCAATCTTAATAAGTAACTTGTAGTGACATTGTCTACTACATAAGGTGTGTCGTTGAATTAGATGATCAAATAAGTACTTTAGAATTTGTTTTCTTACTTGATTTTGGAGTTATTTCTCAATCTTAATAAGTAACTTGTAGTGACATTGTCTACTACATAAGGTGATTACGTAACTGCATCTTATGTGTGTCAGAGTATTTGGATGAGACGAGTGTTAGAGAAATTTGGTCAGAAAGAGAAGAGTATTCTAATTCGATGTGACAATAACTCTACTATAAAGTCGTCTAGAAATGCAAAAAAGAGGAGAAGAGTATTCTAGTTTGGGATGACAATAACTCTACTATAAAGTTGTCCAAAAATGCAAAAGCAAGCATATTAACATAAAATTTCATTTTCTTAGAGATATAAAGACAGTCTCTCAAAGTAGTACAGTTTGTAAAACTACGAATTATGCTATGAATGGTTGATGCTTTGGTGGGAAACTAATGCTTGATTTATTTAAGGGAGAGAGTGTTTGATTTATTTATCGTTAATATTTACTGTTTTTATGTGAGTTTGTTGTTAAATAAATTCCATTCTTTAGGAAATTCTTATTCTTTAAAAAAGTGAAGTTACAGATAAATTCTATTCTTTGTTAAATAAGTTTGTTAATCCACGTTATAGACCATGTAAAACGTGAGTTTGTTACTGCTTTAGTTAAGTTTTCAGTAAGGCTATGCTACAAAGCCAACTTTCTATATTTTCTGTGTTTGAACATTGTTTCAGTAACTCTGGGTTGTTTTGTTATTACACCAAAATTTACAGTTGTCATATGAACTCTTTGCCAGAATCAGGTAACCTTTAAAATTAATAATTTATAACAAAATATCAAGTGCAGAAATATCATTTTCCAGCTCACTGCAATAGACATGAATCTCAATAATATTTCCTTACAATTCAATGTGACACTTAAGCGGCTTGGTGTTTAAGTGTCGTCTACAATCAATAGCCAAGAGCTATGTAGCATTTCATTTGTGGGCTGTGTGGTACTAAAGAGTGTGTGCATCATAAAGGGATATTGTAATTTGTAAGGCCGAGAAGACTACTCATAAATCCAGAAAGAAAGTGTGGCCAAACGTACATGACGCATTCATAAATAGAGAAACTGTGGCCAAACTGTTATAGCACTGCACTAGCTAGGAAGTGTGATAGAGTAAAAAAAAATTGAATTTTGGAAAGTATCTAAAATTTGTGTTCTATTTTGTCATTTTAGAAATCAAATGTTATTTTTGCAAAAGCAGTTCACTCTTTGCTTTCATTTCAAACCGAGTTTGTAGAGAAAATATGGATTTGCATATGTCCAACTGAAACTCTAACATGAGGAGTCCTAAACGGAAATTCGGGAATGCAGCCTTGCAAGAAAAATGGCGACATCAAGATACGAAAGAAAATCTACATTTTATCTTGGGTTTAATCACACCTCAATCTGGAGTGGCTTCTAAAACCTTTGGTGAACTGACCAATCAATTATCATGAAACTGACAATCACTCTTTCTTTGGGACATCTAATTCAGTATTGTTATTGGATCATTTCCAGAAGCGTTTCTGTCCTTGCGTTTTCCTGCATCATTTGGAAAACATGGAGAGAAAATGTTACTGAAAATAAGACAGGATACATCCGGTTTAGCATCAATTATTTGTGTAACAAAAGAAGCCTCCAACAACCAACCCAAAATCAATTTCTATCGTGTTAGGTCTTGTGAGGAAATGCAGATTACTACGGAAAAAAACAACTTCAAATTCCAACTTTTTGAAACTTGCAACATCTAGTGCAGAAGACTACTTCAATAATAAAAATACAGAAATTAAATGATTGGCAGGGTGGAGGAACACAGTTATAATCTCATTTTATGCATCCCATTTTTGGATTAAAAAAAATGCACCTCCACTATAACTTTTGCACCCAATTTGTTCCTTGTGCTACACCAGCATATAGCAAGAATAGAAATAATCCTCAGATTCGTTGTGGAAAAAATATAATTGTAATAAATAATTACTATCATGGTTTTAGTTTTGTTTCTTGTTTTCAAAAAGTTTTGGTAAGAAAACAAAATCTGGGCTCATTTATTACTCAAAATTTTGAAATTAGTAAGAAAATAAAAACAATTAGAATGTTACCTCATATGCTCTTTGGAACGCCTGATGAATTCACTTGGAATATCACTGTCAGATCCTTGGTAAGACTGTAGCACCGGTCTTATATCAGCCGGACTACTACGGGCAACAACTGCATGTGGATAATGGAGAAGGTAATGCAAAATATTTGCCAACGATAAAATGTCGATACTTCCAAACATGAATTCATTTAAACACATCTCAAGAGGAATGCACTTACACTCAAGGAATGGTATGAAATCTACAAGAGCTGTATCATCTTTATCAGTCTGCAGCCATGGCTTAATAGGGACACAGTTTTCAGGTTGTAGGCAACTTTCAAGAGCATGGCCACTTAAGTACATAACTTTTGCAGGATTCCTGTTTAGTTTTGTAAGATCCTGCCAATGAGGGGCAAGAGGGGAAACATTTCAACGATATTCGAGATGCCACATTTTATACGGTATCATAATAAAATGACAGGAAAAGGCAAAGGAAATAATATTGACAGGTCTGTTATAATATTCTTTAGGTGTAAGTTGTATTATGAATAAAAGTTACAATCCAAGGCATATGTTCTCTATTATAAGCAACACTCGGTCGTACACTTACCACAAGAGTTGAGAAAGAATAATACATGAATATAAACTCATACTCACTCTATAGTGTTTCCCATCCTGATACTTAGTAGCAGGCCTTGATAGCCTGTACCTAATGCAGTGCTTGGGATCCAGCCTCTCTATAACAGGGTCTACAAACTGCACAGATCAACAAAAGCATGAGCATATGAATACTCACAAGTCATAACAATGATAAGGATCTGTTCAAAATAGAGAAACAAAATCAGATTACCATATTTTGTTCATCTGTATACACTACTATTTCATAGAACTGAGCTAGATGTTCTAAGAAAGCATCAACTCCGGGTCTTTTAAAAGTCTGCCAGCCAGTATCTCGCTTCACATTCCAAAAAAAAAAGTAAAAATCAATATATTTTAGGTCATCAGATGTCTGCAGCATGTAACCATCAACTCCAACTATTTTTTGTGACAAACATTATAGAAATGAAATTGCCGATAAAAATTCATATCTCAGTCCACAAAAATGGGGCATTTTCAATAAAAGTCTTACTGTCCAAATGTAGTGAATCAATGTTTCATTGAGATCTAGAACAAGTGTGAACACATGTTGCTCCTGAGGAAGCAAATCTGGAAGGAGCTTGTCTGTGTATGGTTCCGTATAACTCTAGAAGAATGCAAGACCAAAGTATTAAAAGTTTAAAACGGATGAGAAAATAATAGTTGACAAAAAGGAAAACGTACAAGGCCAAAGTCAGAGAAGTAAAAGTATGCACATACCCTAACTTGTTCTTCAATTAACCTTCTAGCGTCCAAATAAAGCTCAATTGCTTTAGCAGGCACTGAGATAAAGCATGCAGGAGATTCAGCAAGCCATAAAAATAACAAACAGACATATATAACTTAACTTGGAGTATAAAACCCCCTCCCCCAAAAATTGCTGTTAAGTTTAATATCATAAAAGCATTGGTTGTACCTAATAGTCATGCAAACAAATATTTTTCCAAGGGACCCTACTGCATGTTATGTTGGGTTGATCAACTAATTTAAAAGAAATATTGCTTATGCAAGCTAAAAGCACTTAACAAAATCACAAAAAGATAGAGTGATTAACTCATCCATTTGTTTCATGTAACAAAAACATTCCAGGAATCCAAAGGAAGAGAAACTCCCATGTAGAAACTCAGAGTATAAACTATATATTATGTACAGAATAATGTCAGGAAACTCACCTGTTACTGCAGTTGAGTATATAAGCCCTTGAAATTTCTGTAAGCATGAAATCAAAAAATGTCAACCTACTAATGTTAAGGCCTATTAACATATTATACCAAAGGATATATGATAATCCATCACATCCAAACCATGCAGAGTTCCAAAACAAAGCAATAGTAAGTTATGTAGCACCGACACCTCTGAAAAGGTGTGTCCGTGTTGGTTTCAGTAACCGACATTGACACTTGTAATTACGTTTAATTTATTTATTTTTTCAAAATATTATAAGTGTTGTGACATGTCAATATTAGTGTCGTGTTTCCGGTGTCCGTGCTTCATAGATCATAAGGTATCCAAAGGGCACTTACATGTAACAAAAAAGTATAAAAAAATCTGACATCGAAGGCTACTAAAAATTATTAGCAATCGAAAATCACAAAATCAATTTGTTACATCTAGAGGTACCCAACCAACAATAGGCACACAAAAAAAAGCTAAAATCTACACACAGATTTTGCAAGTCATTTCAAGTCATATATTGCCGAAGCAGCATTTCAAATGGCAAGAGAACGACATTCCGAGAGCCATCTCATCAAACAAAAACTAATTAATTATTTAGAGTTTAAACAACAATCCATGCCAGAAAAATAAGTTCAGATAAAAAAATTAGCAAAGAAGATTGAATGTGAAGAAAGATTGAGAAACAGTTAGCAGAACTCATATATTGCACAAGCAGCATTTCAAATATCGACAACATTTAGCAAAGAAGATTGAATAGATTGATGAACAGAACTCACATCGAGAGCAGTAGCTCCATCAGCTGGAGTGTTCTTAGCCGATTGACGAAACAACTTCGTTTTCTCATCAATTTCGTCCGCACTATAAGCTGTGCATTACATTCAAACAAAAAAGAAAAATCAATTAATCATCTACATCTAACAAGTTATCATTTCCAGATCAACAAATTTCATTTACAAGAACAACACAAAATGACGACAACAGTGAATACGTAAACAAAGATAGAGAAAGAAAAAACTAACCGTAAGAAGCATAGCCGGTTAGGGCAGTAGTTCCGGTGAAAGCACCGATAACGGTGTATTTGAGGAAATTCCAGCGGTTAGGGGAAGTAGTGGCTGAAGGAGGAGGAGGTTGAGGAGCAGCGGGAGCTGCACTGGTGGAGAGGAATCGCTTCGATGAAGATGATGCGACGGAGGAGAATCGAGATCGGAGAATTCTGAGAGACATGGTTGAGAGATGGCTTCGATGAAAATGTAGTGAATGAGGTTCAAGTAGGGTTTTGGGTGGCTTTGCAGAAACGCCGATCGACGCTGCGTTCTGTTATTATTACTTTAACCAATTCTGTTTTGACTGGTTGGAGTCTTGACGCCGTTAGTTATACAAACGATAATTCTAGAACCCTCGTAAAGAAAATATTATGTTTATATGATTAGATAGATTATTTAGAAAAATGCTGGTATGAAAATGAATATAACTTTATAAATAATTAATCATAATTTTTTATTAATTAAAAAATTAAATTAAATTTCTCTTTCTCTTATACTATTTTATTAGGTTACATATTTTTAATAATATAGATTTAGTTTTGTTTTCATAAGTATTTTTCAAATGTTATTCGATTATTTATTTCTTCACTCAAAGAAAATATATTTGTTTAGTGTAAAAAACTTATAAAAATAATAAGCATGTCGTCTCAAATATTTAAATTTGTTAATTTTGGAGGTTTATCTTGAAAAGTTTATTCAAGCAAAAATAAGTAAAGATAGTTAGAGAAAATTAGAGAATAAAAGTGATTAATTGTTTTTTTCAAATCCGTTAATTTTCATTGTTGATTAATGTCTTCTATCTTAAACATGAATTTATAGCTTTATGATAAATTAACCTAATCGTTATATATAATTATGTTGTGTATAATTTACTTTCTTACAACAACTCCTTAATTTTTTAGTGTTGAGGGTTTTTGAATAGAAAGGGAGTGGAGGGAAGGGGGAGGAAAGAAAATATTTTAAATGAAAAGTGTTTGGTTCAATATTTTAGGAGGGGATATGAGAAAAAAATGAGGGAATCATAATCTCTCTTAGAGTGACTTTTCATTCTCTCAAATTAGAGTTTTTTTTAGAGAAGGGAATAAGAGAGATGTTAAAATATCATTTATTATATTGACGAAATTAACATCGAGTTTTTTTATAAAAAATTATAATTTATCCTTAAGAAAGTATTATAAGTTTAGCTTTTCTATCATATTTCTCTTCTTCTGATTTGATATTGGAGTTTTTTTTGCAATTAAAAGTTTGTTTATCGCTTAAGTCAAAATCTTATATGTTACAACATGATTGCTTCCATTTTTTTTTAAATCAACATTATTTTTACTTTTATCGTTTCACACTTTCGTATAAACTTTAAGATCAAGAATAACTTAATAAAAACTAGAATTTCAAATTAAGAAAACATGACTCACCCAGTTACATAGTTCAACAGATCAAATCAACATCATCTTGAAAGATCTAATATATAGAGAATTAGCTACTCATAATATAATTAATCATATATATGAGTTTAAAGTAATAATACATGAAACTTGAGATGAATATTGGTCTTCAATGGAGGAAAACTTTCATCCTTAAGCTCTTTGTGTTAGAATTTTGGGTCACAATGTAATTTTTAATGTGTTAAGGTCATTATTTAATTAGCTAAAACTAAAGTTGTCTAATTAATAATAATTTTATGACTAAGGGCATATATGTCATGAAATTTTATTGTGTACATAAGTCAATATCCTAATTTAATTAGGGACCAAATTAGGAATATTTAAAACTAAGTAGTAATGTTACTTATATGGGTTATGGTCCCTATTTGTAACGTACAATCCATACGATTTATTTGGCTTTGTTTCTTCATCCCCGTCAGAAGAGATCAAGAAACCCTATACAAAAGATCTCATGCCCGAAAACATTTAGTGATTCTAATAATAAATTCAGACACACTTCCGCTTTCTTTCTCATCTTGAATTCGGGTATGGATTCATAGGATATGAGTTCATAGAGATTTGCTTAAGGTTGTGTTCTTGATATATATATATATATATATATATATATATATATATATATATATATATATATATATATATATATATATATATATATATATATATATATATATATATATATATATATATATATATATATATATATATATATATATATATATATATATATATATATATATATATATATATATATATATATATATATATATATATATATATATATATATATATATATATATATATATAATACAGTAAAGAACAAATCAAAGTTCAACCCTTCAAAAAGTTGAAAAAGTTTTCCTTTTAAAAGGGTCTGAGTGCGTTAGAAATCACGTCCCGATATCATAAATTGTGACATGATATGCCCTTTTTACCCAAAATTGTGCCATGATATGAATTCATTGTGTCATGATTTGTTGTCTTTCTTCAGAATCACACCACTATATGTAAGCATTGTGACGCAGGAAGCCTTACGCTGTTCCAAATGGCAAATGTAAACAAAAGTTTCAGCAAAAAAATAATGGTGGTAAGAGTCATGGTGGGGGAGGTTCTGCTACTCCAATCAAATGTTTCAAGTGTGGGGTAACTGGTCATCATGCTTTAAAGTGTACTATAGTGAAATGCTACAGATGTGGAAAGGTTTGACATAAGGATAATGAATGTAAGAGTGATAGGTGGTATATTATAATTATGGAGAAATTGATCACATTAGTATAATTGTCAGGAACCTAAGAAGACGCAAGATGTTAAAGCTGGTGGAAAAGTCTTTGCTCTTAGTGGTGCAGAGGCCTCAAAGTCCCATAATATGATCCAAGGTACATGCTTTATTAATGGTATTCCTTTGATTACTAACATTCATACGCATGCTACTCATTATTTTATATTTTCTTATTATGTGAAAAGATTAAATCTTATTATGTTTCCTATGGGTGGAAGTATGATTATTGATACTTCTGCTAATTGGTCGTGACTACATTTTTAGTTTGTTTGAATTTCCCTATAACGATATATGGTAGGGACTTTGGTGTCGACTTAGTCTGTTTACCATTGAGTCAGCTTGATATTATTTTAGGGATGATCTGGTTAGAGTTCAACCGTATCTATGTCAACTGTTATTCCAAAGCAATGTTATTTCCTGGGTCCGTGGAAGAGAAAGATCTTATGTTCATATCGACCAATAAGATAAAAGAATTCTTGAAAGACGAAGCTCGAGTGTTTGTGATGTTTGCTTCTTTACAATTTAGGAGTAAGACATCAATGGTCGATCTACCTGTGGTGAAAGACTTTCCAGAAGTATTGCCTGGTGATATTACCGATCTACCGTTCGAGAGAGAAATTAAGTTTTCCATTGATCTGGTACCAGACACAAGACATGTATAGATGGAACCTTATAGAATGTCTCTAGAAGAGTTAGGAGAAGTAAAGAAATAACTAAAAGATTTACTTGAGAAAAAATTTGTCATGCCAAATTGGTCGCGTTGGGGAGCCCCGATGTTGTTAGTCAAGAAAGGATGACATTATGAGATTTCGCATTGACAATCATCAGCTAAAGAAAGTCAATATCAAGAATAAATACCATTTTCCCATAATGGATGATCTTATGGACCAATTAATGGGAGCATGTGTTTTCAGTAAGACAAAATTGAGATCAGGCTATCATTAGATCTGAGTGAAAATGAAGATATTCTGAAGACTGCTTTTAGAACTTGATATGGTCATTATGAATACCCGATGATATCGTTCGGAGTTTCTAATGCCCCTGGTATATTTATGGAATATATGAACAAAAATTTCCATTCTTACCTGGATAAGTTTGTTGCCGTTTTCATTGACGACATAGTAATATATTCCAAATTAGACAAAGATCATGCAGCGCATCTCTGTATAGTACTTCAAGTTCTAAAATAGAAGAAAATATATGCTAAGTTGTCTAAATGTGAATTTTTGTTATGTGAAGTCAGCTTTCTGGGTCATGTAATTTCCAATGGTGGTATAATGGTGGATCCTTCGAAAGTAGATGCAGTGTTACACTAGAAAGCTCTGAAGATAATTACTGAGATTAGAAGCTTCCTTGGACTAGCTGGTTATTATCGGATATTTATCGAGGGTTTCTGGAAGTTGGCCTTACCTTTGACTTGGTTGACTCGAAAGGGTCAAGCTTTTGTATGGGACCTGCAGTGTGAAGAAAATTTTTAAACACTGAAGAAAAAGTTGGCAACAACACCTGCTTTAATATTACCCGACCCGAGAGAACATTTTGTTCTGTATTATGATATGTCCAATATGGATTTGGGGAGAGTACTTATGCAGAATGTATAAGTAGTGACTTATGCTTCTCAGCAGCTGAAGATTCACGAGAGGAACTATCTTACTCACGATTTATAGTTGGCCGTTGTGGTGTTTGTGCTGAAGATTTTGAGACACTATTTATATGGTTCCATATTCAAAGTGTTTAATGATCATAATAATTTGAGATATCTATTTGATCACAAAGATCTTAATATGAGACAAAGAATGTAGTTAGAGTTTTCGAATGACTATGACTTTGTTTTAAATTACCATCCTGATAAAGCCAATGTTGTAGCAGGCGCTCTGAGTCGAAAATCTTTGCACATGTCAGCTTTAATGGCTAGGGAGTTAGATTTGATTGAGCGATTCAAAGATATGAGCTTAGTTTGCGAGGTGACTACTAATAGCGTGAGATTAGGCATGCTGAAGTTAACCAGTGGTTTTCTTGATGAGATTAGAGAGAAGCATAAAATGGATGTGGCTTAGGTTGATCGCTTATCATCAGTTAACTAGACTAATTATAAAGACTTCCAGGTTGATGAAAACGGGATTCTAAAGTTTCAGGATATAGTTTATGTACCCGATGTGTTGGAACTTAAGAAAATGATTTTGGAAGAGAGTCATCGAAGCAGTTTAAGCATTCATCCTAGGGCTACCAAAATGTACCAAGATCTGATGAATATGTTTTGTTGGACATGAATGAAGAGGGATATCCCATAATTTTTCTATGTTTGTTTGACTTGTCAGAAGTATAAGATTTAGCATGAGAAGTCGTCTGGGCTGATGTAGCCATTAGATATTACTAAATGTAAGTGGGACAATATCCCGATGGACTTTGTGACTAGTTTTTCAAATACACTGAGAATGAGTGATGCGATTTTAGTGATTGTAG